ATTGCGATAGTACTTTTTGCCTTCAACATAATGCAGATTGAAATCAACAAAATCAACCATTACATTTCAATCAATTAAACAAGCACAAATAAGAATTATGTTAACATCAATTAACAAATCAACTTTTACAAATCACCTTTTACAAATCAATTAAACAATCAAAAATAAGCAATAATTATTAGAGAAAATAACATTTCTACTATTGAATCAACTTTTGCCATACATCATTTTCACGCAGCTCACTTCTGAGATTAACCTGCATAAACCAAACATTTGCTCAAACAACACTTTCTACACATCTAAAACCTACAAACAACAAATTATTGAATTCTAGGTACTTAACCAAACATTTTCAAACCACAAGCCTATAAACATACCAATTGTTTATGGACATTTTTATAACGCGGATGCAGGTAGGCAGCGTCTCGTATATATCAATCTAGCCATATAATGTCGAAACCACAAGCCTACTGCAGCTCTATCTATATCGGTGGGAGGTAGATACTTTATACTTCCTGTGATCAAACGGTCCAACGCCAAGTATACGAGAGGACCATAATCCCCTCTGGGTCCTTTCGTTTGTTGTGGTGTGGTCTCGTCTCTGCTAACTGTAATATTGAGCTTCTTTGGCTTTTTGTTTCCAGAACGAGTCCAATATCGCATCCAAGAATTTAGCCAAATAAGAGCTCCATCCCTTAATAATATCTCTTAAATCAGCGAATGATATGTAATTTATCATGCTGTCATATACTATTGCCTTAAGGGATGGGATCTGAAGCTCGACGAGAATCCAATGGTTACGTTCCAAAACAGGGATAAACACCTGCAATCATAAGTAATAATTCATTCATTTGCGCACTTATTTATGAATACCTTTAAACTCAATCTAAAATAAACACTAACCTTATCGACCTCCCACCATGCAGGATAAAGTTTAGCTTGTCCATTGCCCAACGCAAATAATTCATCTCGTTGATTCTTCAAGTGAACGGCGTTAAAAGACGTCGGCATAATTGTATATCGTGTATTTCTTTTATTTTCCTTAAGTTTCCTAATTATTAGAAGACGTGACACCCACGCATCGATATGCTGTTTTATAAAAAAAGACATATATTAGTAACTTACATAAATTTATAAAAAAATAATCAAATTAAAATATAAGAAAAATATAAGACTTACCCCTCCATCGAAATAGCCATTGTCTTCGACCCCTAATAATACGCCCCACCAAGACCGATCAAGCAACAAATAGATATCATCGTTGAGCTTGCATATGTCAGTGAAACACCCCTGGCTTCGCTCATGTAGATAAAAATCAACTGCGGTCTTAGCCCAAAGGGTGTTATCCAGAATTGTGTCGGTAGTTGTTTCCTCTCCACTTCAGATACGGTATGGTACTGGCCGGTAACTCATACGAGAGCCAACTTGAATCCATCATGTCCGACACGTCAGAGGGTTTCTCAAGAATCCTACATATGATGCCATGTGAATCGGGCTCTTGAATGGTGGGAGGGACCTCTTCAACGATGACAGTGGCCTCTTGAACGGTGGGAGGGGACTCTCGAGGAATGATAGGGGCCTCTTCAACGATAGGAGTGGACTCTTGAGGGATGACAGTGGCCTCTTGAACGGTGGGAGGGGACTCTCGAGGAATGATAGGGGCCTCTTTAACGATAGGAGTGGACTCTTGAGGGATGACAGGCGAGTCGGGCTTCTTCTTGCGGTGTCTTCGCACTATTGGGGTATACGGAGACTTAATAGCACGTGCACGCCGTCTGATGCGTGAACTCTATCGTGCAAGAAAAACCTGACGTAAAGCATCCACCTTATCGGTCCGCTAAATAATTAAATACAAATATCAGTAAATAAACCGACATGATATTTAAAGTGAAAACAAGACAAATATATTTCAACTTTCAACCAAAAGACAAAACAAAGACAAATACTAACTTCACAGTGTTAAAGAATACACAGTTTAGCAGAATTAGCAGCAACCGAATAAATTTACTTCAACCAAAAGACAAAACAAAAAGACAAATACTAACTTCACAGTGTTAATAAACAGTTTAGCAGTATTGGCAGCAACCGAATAAATTTACTAAGCAATCTAAGTGAAATGGTTAATTTAAGTGAAATTACGAGTAAATTTATCATCAAGTTAAATATGGAAAATCTTAAACTTACCTCGTTGTAGAGTATGAACCTCATTCTGCAACGATACTACCATCTCACGTAGAGCGGCAACCTCACCACGTAAAGTAGACACCTCCACACGCCATGCACCATCGTTATCGAGTAGAGTACCGATCTCCTTACGCAAGGCATTAACCTCATCACGTAACTCCCTTGACTCATCCTGTGGAGGTAGAGAACAGGGAGATAGAAGTCGTGGCATCTTTGCCGGTCGCCTATCATGAGGTGATGGTGGAGAAGAGGCTCGATGATGTGACGGGATAGGTGATGGCTCTCGTTGTAGAGGTGTATAGTCGGGTCGATCAGGTGATGGCTCTAGGTGAGGTGATGGCTCTCGAAGTGGAGGAAGTGGAGGCTGCTCATCATTCGTGCCATCAAGAAAACGCTGACTAGCTTGCCACCAATCAGTGGCAAGCTCAGCCTCCGTGGGTGTCAGTCTAATTAATGGAATGTTGGCCTCCTAAAAATATAAAAACTCAAACAAAGTTAAACGTCTACTATTAATAACTTGTTTATATATGATAGTATTTGTGTTAACTTACATTATTTATTGTCGCATATGGTATTAAGTCTTCCCAATCCAACAGACGTTTCCTCTTCCAAGAAATAGCCCTGGGAATATCATTTGAAGTTTTTATTGCATATGTCTTCATGGCGGGAAAGGCCTCGAATATCCAAATCTACAAACATTATAATAAAAAACATTAGTAATTGTTAAATAATTAATAATAATTTTGAAAACATTATATAGAAATTCTTACCTTAAAGGCCCAAACAAAGCCTGACAAAGTGTATTTCGACCCATCGCCCCGCAAACTTTTGCGGTCATCAAAGGCAGACGACAACTTAGTCCAGGTAGCTTTCCATATATACGAACCCCACGGAAACAGATTTCATGCATTTAGGTCCTCTACCAATAATATTAGCTCCTGAGGAATAGGTTGTCTGGCCTCTCTGCCTAAAAAGTCGGCATACAAAAGTAGTAGAAGGCATACTCAGACAACATCGACGTCATTCATCCGAGTAAAACCATCTTTCTTATTAAACAATTTCTTCATGTCGTCGACGTGTAAGTTCGGCTTCTCTATTGACTCATCAGGAAAAACCCTGGATAACCATGATGGGCGGGTGATATGATGAGTGTACCGGCCTACATCATCATGTCTGAATCGTAGACCAGTGATTAAGCAGAACTCCTTCCGCCCAAAACAAGTATACGCCGGTGGAAAATGAAACCATATCTCTTCCTCACCACGTTGTATACTGTCGGGTAGATCGCTAGTCATGGTCTGAAGCCACAAATGGGTCAAATTAGCATCTCCACCCGGATGTTGTACTCTCAGCCATGGCCCGAAGCAGGTTTCTTCAAACAATTTTCTTTGTGTAGGTGAAAGCTTCGAAGCAATTGTAGTGGCTAGGCTAACTTTATTCCTTAATGTCAATGAAGCCGAAAAAAATTTCTACAAAAACAATAAACATACCAAGTTAGATATACCAAAAACTACACTGTCAAGATATACCAAAAACAATAAACATAAATAGTAGTTTATTCTTGAAACTAAAATTTGCAACACTGTTTTGTCTTTTGGTTGAAATGAAAATCGCAACGAGATAATGAGAATCGCAACGCGGAAATGACTATCGCAACGAGAGAATCGCAACGCGAAATGACTATCGCGACGAGAGAATCGCAACGCGAAATGAAAATTGCAACGCGAAATGAAAATCGCAATGCGATTTTGGTTTCGCGTTGCGATTTTTATTTCACGTTGCGATTCTCTCGTTGCGATAGTTATTTCCGCGTTGCGATTTTCATTCTCGAAACTATTCTTCTTCTGCATTACTTCTACCAAAAGACAAAACAAAGACAAATACTAACTTCACAGGCTAAACAGTTTAGCAGTATTGACAGCAATCAAATGAATTTAATAAGAAATCTAAGTGAAATGGTTAATCTATTATTGAAATTACCAGTAAACTTATCATCAATCTCAATATGAAAAACCTAAAATAATGCAAAAATTTCAAAATAAAAATAAAAAAAAACTAACCCTCGGAGGTTGATTTTCTATTTCTGAATGATTGTGAGAGATTTTTGACTGTGAATGGTTGTGAGGGATTTCTCCGGCGATGGGGACGGAAATCTTCGGAGATAGGGACGGATTTCACCGTAGAGAGTGAGAGATGGAGATGGGATGAGTGTTGTGATTTTGGGTTTGAGGTTATGAGTTGCGATTACTGTGGACGGTTCAGTTTCCGATTTATTAAGAAAAAATTCGTGTTTAGAATTTGAAAAAAAAAATACGCGTTAATACGAATGGCGCTATGTAAATCGCGTTGCGAAAGTCAGAATCGCGTTGCGAAAGTCAGTATCTCGTTGCAATTTTGTATTATCGCATTGCGATAGTAAGTATCGCATTGTGATAGTCAGTATCGCAACGACACTGTAGACCATCGCAACGCGATTTCCAACTATCGCAACGCGAAATGCAACGCGAATTTACGATAATGGAGATCGCGTTGCGAATTAACGATCGCATTGCGATTTTGTTGGTCATTTTGGCAAATCCGAAAAAAATTAGTTAAAATCATATATTATAAGACATTTTTAGTCACCGAAACGATTTTCTCGTGAAATAATCATTTATGACCGGAAAACGACACCTCTCTCCAGCACGTCTCGAAGGCAACTCACGCCTTCATTGGCGAGCGTGAGGGTTCCTTTCCCCCCAACTCCTATGCTGACAACACTCCCTAAATTGATTGCTTAAATAATAAAATAAAATAAACATAACCTTCAGTCCCAATACTACGCTGAACCCGCTCCGAAACAATCATCAATACACCGCCGTGATGATTAATTATCCATGTGGATGATTTTTATTTGGCATGAAAATGGAAGGAAGTTGGGATTGGAAATAGAGGATTAAGAGTAAGATCAGTGAAAGAGCTCTGTATTTTTTTCTTCCATCATCATCACTCTTCGTTGGCTGTTGCAGTAAATGAGAAAGTTCTTATCTTTCTTTAAGTAAAGAAAAGGTTAGCTTTTTTGAAGAGTATATATATATTTGTATATCTCGACACAGAGCGAGAGAGAGAGAACGGGGATTTTAGAGAGGGAGAGAGAAATGGAAGGCATAGAGGAAGAACAGAGCGGAGAAGAGGTGGTGCTAGGGTCAACCTTGACGATGGAGAAAGTGGCGGCGGCTAAACAGTTCATTGAGAATCACTATAGATCTCAGATGAAGAATATTCAAGAACGCAAAGAAAGGTATTGCTTTACTTACTATTCTAACAAAAAATTTCAAAATTTTTGCTTGGTTTATGATCTTTGTTTGGTTGCTGAGAAATGGAAAAAGAGAATGATACGAGCTTTGGATGTTAGATTAGTGCATTCTTTTTGGCGGAATCAGTGAACTTTGTAGTTAGCTGAACCTACCTTCAATTGCTTCTTTTTTAAATTCAATTTTCTGGTTTTGAGCTGATGACTACGGTGACTGATTGCTTTGCTTTGTATGTGGCTTACTTGCATGTTTTTTTTAGTGCTTGGGGAGTGGATTAATGTCAAACTAGGTTTCCATGTTAGGAAGTTGGGGGCATTTAATAGTAGTATTTAACAGTTTTCCCAAATCAGGTAAATTTTTCAAAAAATGGTCAAGAAAGTTTCTTGTATATTTTTCTTTGCTGAATGTTTAAGTTATAATGCAAAGTTGCTCCAGTTTGAAGCTACTATTAATTGTCTTTTACAGTTTTGATGATCCAAACTTTTCTTTGTACTATTGATATCTTATAGTTCATGTTCTTCTTCTTCTTCTTCTTCTTTTTTTTTTAAAAAAAAATTTTTTTGAAAGGAAGTCCTCTTGTATCTTCAAGAAAACAAAGTGTTAAGAGGAAATTTTTTTTTTTGGAAAATATGGAAAATTTCGGACTTGTGAAATACCTTATACCCGTGTATTTCATGCGACTTATTATATGGTAAATATTGATTCCAATATATATTTGATTAAGAAAATGATGGAAACCATGCTTTGCTTCACTGATCTATAGGATGTGCAGACTTTATTTGTAGAAAACTGATGGATTTCAATACTTTATCATAAGGGTTCTTTAATCAATTTTAGAATATGACTTTTGGATTATGTTGTAATTGAGATTTATTTGCAATGAAGTTTCTCGTTCCTTGTAACAGTTTTTTCTTCAACTTGATGTAGCCTTCTCAAAATGTTGTCAACAATTGTATGCTTGAAGTTGGTAATGCCAATTTCAACTTAATAACATGGTTTAGTTTCGTTGCAGACGATGGGTACTGGAGAGAAAGTTAGCAGCTTCAGATGTGCCCCAGGAGGAACAGATCAATCTGATAAAGGTTCTGTTGACTGCTTTTAGGTGGTCACTAGGAGCAATAATGTATGAAATGCTAATTGGATATCCTCCATTTTATTCAGATGATCCGATTACCACATGCAGGAAGGTAACACTTATGTCTGGCTTTATTTTCTTAGCTCTCGTTTATCTTAGATGTAATCTTACGCTTAGCTTTCTTCCGTGCTCTCTCCAAATTCAAGATATTCTTAGATCTAGTTTATCTTAGATATTCTTGGAGCTATCGTTCTTTTCCTAACATTTTGGTCATAAATCTTTTTTAGATTGTGCATTGGAGAACACACCTAAGATTTCCTGAAGATTTGAGATTAAGTCATGAGGCAAAGGATCTCATATGTAAATTGCTTTGTGATGTCGATCACCGATTAGGTACTGGAGGGGCACATCAAATTAAAGTAAGGTTATGATATATTGTGATGCTACTCCTTTCTACCGTCTATTCCTCATTTGGTTGTTGACATTTGATTTTGTCAGGCTCATCCTTGGTTCAAGGATGTTGTGTGGGACAAACTTTACGAGATGGATGCTGCATTTAAACCTGAAGTGAACGGGGAATTAGATACTCAAAATTTTATGAAGTTTGACGAAGTATAACTCGAATTTCCCTGTTTCTATTACTTCTGTTTTTTCTTATTCCAAACGCTAATCACTTTGTTCAATATTTATTTATCTATGGTGAAATTCAAGATATATTTTTTCTCATAAATTGACCTCTTTTGGAATTCTCATCAGTTGGATGCTCCATCACCAGCAAGATCTAGCTCAGGACCTTCACGGAAGGTTTGTAACAGAGAATACTTTCTAACTAGTGCATACCATATTATTTACACTTTTTTCTCTTAGTATGTGGCTAGTTTTTGTTCTACAATATGATCTGATAATACTATGAATACACAATTATTGAATTTCTATTCCCTTTCCTTTTTCTGTTCAAAATATGTCAGTTTACAAGACAATTGATATCAGCTTTCAGTGGTCTCTCTTCTGAAAAAACTCTTTATCAGTAACTTGTGGCAACAACAAATGTATAAATATGAATCATATACATATTTTCCCACTAAAATAAACATGTTTGGTTATATCTTGATATCATTTGTACTGAGTAGCGAGTACCTGACATGCGAAAACATGTTGAAGTTTATTTATATGTTTTCCTAATTAATGCAGATGCTTTTAACACCTAAAGATCTAAATTTTGTTGGTTATACATACAAGAATTTTGATGCCGTCAAAGGGCTTCGCCATTCTTCTGGTATGCAATTTCACTAAATTGTCAAGATTTCGACATTTTCCTTTATTATACTTGTCCTTATTGATGTTGATTATAAGCTTCAAAATTCTTTCATATACTTCATATTCATCTCATGAGGAAGTAGGAACTGTGAATTGGAGGTTAAAAAAGATGCTACAGTAGCAGTAGACATATGGAATGCCATAATGAATTAGCCTTGATTTCTTTGCAACTTAACCTTTTCCTCTGGAAGGATAAGTATGCTAATAGTTTTAGGTTGTCGAGTAGCAACTCACCTTTTGAATCTGTCTAAAGAACAATAGAAAATCACAGATTTCCTAGGGGCAACTAGGTAGGCCTACAAGATTTAGTAGTCCAACTAATGACTTAAAAATACCTCTCCAACAGTAATAAGATGACCTTAAAATGCTAGAATTTATTGACATTCATGGAACCCAGTGCTTTAGAAGTATATTTAATTTTCTCTTTTTCCAGTATCCAGTTTTTCTTTTAAATAGTGAAGAGATTTGATATCACTTTCCTAAACTATTTCACCTGTGTAGATTCCAGGAATCCATCGATGGAACAGCAATCCCATGATTCTATATATGGTAATGAATCTTTCTACTTCACGTATCTATCAATATATCTGTCTGTCTGTCTTATTCTTCATTTTTCGTTCAACTTTCTACCATTAATCCATTATATTAATGTTATAATTTGTCTTTCTTCACTATTAAACGGATTAAGTTAACACCTACCTGCAGGTGATTCAGGGGTAGGTTATTCTACTAGGCGATCAGCCGAGGAAACAGAGATGCAAATGCTTACATCAACAGGTGATCCCATGTTACCATAAAGTAACTAAAGGGCAACCTCTTACATTAATATATGGAACCACTTTGTTAAGTGTACAGAAGTATTTAAAGGAAAAATTATTAAAACCCAGTTCTTGGTTGATTGGTAGAAGCAAAGCAAAGATCCCTTTTTTCAGCCAAAAAGGCTGTGTATTAGAAGTTGGACGAGGGTTCTGAAACTTGATGATGCACTGGCACTGGATGCCCAGGTTGGCTTTGGTGAATTTGCCTTCTCTAGTGGCAGTTTCTGGTCAAAATTTTTAAGTGATAGCAAACTCCTCAGAAACTCTATTAAGCCATTTTGGGGAAAATGATTCCCCTATTGTTGTTGTGTGTAAACTTATTAGCAAAAGCTGGAAATTAGCTTTGGGGAAATAACATTTTGCTGATAAATTTTATCTCATTAAAATTGTCCATTGAAGCACTCCCTACCAATTTTGTTGTAGAATGACTACTATTTTTTTTTTCAAGCTTGTCCACTTTTGATAATGTTATATCTTGAACAGTTTTTCTTCCCTTTTCTTTCTTTGGCCATTCATTGTAATTAGTAAGTGCTCCTCCATCAGGTGAAAACACCACCAGAAAGTTGATGCTTTGGACCATTGTACCATATTTCTCTATTCCAATTCGCCTAGTTGGTATTCTTTTGATAAGTTGGCTGACCGTTGAGCTCATAATAGTCGATACTACACGACTACACCAGAAAATATTTTTAAAAGATGATTATTTAATGTAACACGGATTATTAACATTCTAAAATTTGTGTAATATACAAAATTAGACATGAAAATTTACCATTTCTTGGATTAACCTTTCCCTTCAACTAGAACATGATTCTCTTTGTGTAAAACTGAGAATTTTGGATGCTCTGAACCAGGCCTTTGAGGATTGACTCTTCTAGTTCGTTAGAATGAAAAGATATTGGCTCAGGTTATCACAATTTTGAATCCATGGAAAAGCCAGAGGCGTCGTGCCTCTTAAAGAAAAAAGTCCATTGTTCATTGACTTACTGTGGCTAAAAGGTCAAGGTTTTTTAGCCAATAGATTAACTACAATTAACATATAAATCAATTGTTTAGGTGAGATTTTGCCACATGATAGATATGTTGTGATCGTTTGAGAGATTGCCAGATTAGTTGGATTTGTACTTTTCAATCGAGGCAGGTAAAATTTTGGTTGATTTTGACTTACTACATTCTCAATTCACCAAACTTTAAAACTTGATATAATCAAGTGATTAATCAAACACAAATCTGACCCATATTAATTAATTTATACTGTCATCGGCCGCGAACTTGTGGGTGAGGTCGGCCCACAATAGATTATCTGTGGGGCCACAACCAGCACAAAGAAGACTGCACCTATTGTGGTGCCGAGACCAACACCCAACAGTGCGACAGACGCCGCTCAGGAGGTCCACAACACGTCAAGACCAAGGCACACACAATGTCGAACATGGTCAAGACACTCCCGCCCCAAACTACCCACAAGAATGGCCATCAAACAGCAAGGGTCGCCTAGGGTCGTGACCACCGCACACCAAGGTAAACCTAGAGTCGAGGCCAACGCACGGTAAGGTCAGTCGAGGGCTCTAACCAACAAGCAATGGGATGCACTCGGGGTTGGGGCTAACGCACACCGGGTCTGCGCCTAGAACAAGATAAACGCATAAAGGGGGCCACTTGGGGGCGAGGACAACACACATTAGGGGCACACAGGGCCGAAGCCTGCGCATACCGAGAGTGCACTGAGGGCCGAGGCCAGCACTGACTTAAGGCCTGTCCACCTAGCAAGGCCGACCATTACTTAGAAAATAAAGCCAAGTAGCATAGTCCTTGTTTGAATATGACTCAAATATTAGAGGTTCAACTAAAGTAAAGAGTTTTACTTGTAGTTGGACTAGGAGTAGTCAAGAGATGTAAGGGGACTTCATTATAAAAGGAGGCATCCCCACCTCCATTGGATATAGAGAGTTTGGTGTGAATAAACTCAGGCATTCGTGCTAAAAATTTCCCCACACACGCTTACTTATGTTTTTATTCTTTTCTATCTTGCTTATCGCTATAACAACATTAACCGAGGAGTTTAGGCTGACTTAACGCCGAGTGAGGCATCTAAAGGCCGCATGGACCAGTTAGACGACAGTCTAACCCCATAATAAGTGGTATCAGAGCCAGGTTCGTGACTAAACGAGATGATTGCACAACGTGGCGAGGCAGCAACATCTGAGGGCGTCGAGACTCGTAATGCAGAGAAGAAGCGAGGAACGTCAAAGGACATGCTCACATCGCTCCAAAGTAAGATCATCAGACTTGAGGACTCAGCGAGAGAGACAAATGAGGTTTTGGATCTGTTATAATCCATCAATCTTGAGAAGCTAGGATCACTAGATCTCGAGAAGCTTGGATCACTAGATCTCGAGAAGCTTGAAGCCTTGGAGAACATCCAAGAGGATGTGCAGACTGCACTCAACGAATTAGATGTGAAGAGTTCCCAACAAGATGATGCTTTGAAAGCTCAAATCTTGGCCTTAACACAAGAGGTCGAAGAATTTAAAAACCAGGGTTCTGGAACCGAGGTTGAAAACCTAAAGAATGATATTGAACAACTTAAGACCGAGGTGGCCTTGTGCAAGGCTGTCGTGGTTGGCAGCATGCTAATCAACGCCCTCAAAGGTCGGGTCGAAGTTCTTAAACCAGAAAAGATTAAAGGGAATATGTCAGCCAAAGATGTTGAAAAATTTATGTGAAACATGGATCAATACTTTCAAGCCATGGGCATCGAGAATGATATTGAGAAAATAAACATTGCTTCTGTTTACCTAACTGATTTAGCACTCTTATAGTAGCGACGTAAATGCATCGATATGAAACGAGATGGCACTACCATTAGAACCTGGGCAGAATTCCAAGATGAGTTCAAAGAGCAATTTTACCCTTATCATGCCGAGAATGAGGCACGATCAAAACTAAGGCGTCTCAGGCAAGAAGGCTATTTAAGGGAGCACGTTCAAACAATTTGTCGAATTAAGCCTACAAGTCCCGAGTCTAATTGAAGAGGACGAGTTCTTCACTTTAATGGACGGATTAAAGCCATGGGCCAAAAACGAGTTGGAAAGAAGGGTTGTCAAAGAATTATCTAAAGCTTTGACAACCGTTGAATCCCTCATCGAACTTGGTGTTAAGAAACCCAAGCCTCCTAAATCAAAAGCCGATGGTCTTAGTAAGAGAAACCAAGATAAAGGCCAAGAACAAAGCCTATTAAGTGATGATTATAAGCCTACAAAAGGCAGAACCTATCAACGCAACAAGTCAAAAGAGAAGGGAGACATCCAATTGATACGTTGTTTCAATTGCCATGAGAAAGGACACTTTGCAAGAGATTGCCCCCACACTGAAAAACTCACAGCCGTTTCCGAAGAAGACGACAATTCAGAGGAAGAAGTATGTAAACTTAGCTAAATTACAAGTGTTAAGCCAAGGGTAAATTCCAAGCGACAAAAGGATCACCGAGGGAGGGGACCACAAATGGTAAAAAATTACCACTTCAAGGCACACAACGTCAAATCCTAAAGCAAGGGTTAATGTACGTGAACATCAATCTTGCTGGACAATCTGGAGTTGCCCTTGTGAATACTGGGGCAACCGATTTATTCATATACAAAAAGGGTCACCGACGATCTTGGACTCAAAATTGAACCATCAAAGGGAGCAATCAAGACCGTTAACACTGAAAAAGTCTCAATCGTTGGAATAGCGCGGAAGGTAGAATTGAAGATTGAAGGATGGAAGGACAACGTAGACTTTATGGTAATCCTCATAGATGACTTTGATTTTGTCATCGGGTTGAACTTTCTTATCCAGATCAAAGCCTCTGTCATTCCCTATGCAAATGTCATGAGCATCATGGATTCTTGATGGCAAGGTAGTGTCCCGTTGATACAAAGTGATCAAGACCAACACCCACCAGGCAAACCACAACAGACTACCCATGGAGCCGCAGCCACAAGCATGGTCATCAAACAACAAGGGTCACCTAGGGTCGTGACCACTGTACACCAAGGTGCACCTACAGCCGAGGGCAACACACGACAAGGTCAGTCGAGGGCTCTAGCCAACAAGCAATGGGACGTACTCGAGGTCAGGGCCAATGCACATCGGGTGTGCATCTAGGACCGAGATGAACGCACAAAGGGGGCCACTTAGGGGTGAGGGCAACACATATCGGAGGCACACAGGTCTGAGGCATGCGCACACCGAGAGTGCATTAAGGGCCAAGGCCAACACCAACTTAAGGCCTATCCACCTAGCAAGACCAACCATTACTTAGAAAACAAAGCCAAGCATCATAGTATTTGTTTGAATAGGACTCAAATATTAGAGTTTCAACTAAAGTAAAGAGTTTTACTTGTAGTTAGACTAGGAGTAGTCATGAGATGTAAGGGGACTTCATTATAAAAGGAGGCATCCCCATGCCTCCATTGGATATAGAGAGTTTGGTGTGAATAAACTTAGGCATGTGTGCCAAAATTTCCCCACACACGCTTACTTACATTTTTTATGCTTTTCCATCTTGCTTGCTATATATAGGACTCAAATATTAGAGTTTCAACTAAAAGGCCTATCCACCTAGCAAGACCAACCATTACTTAGAAAACAAAGCCAAGCATAGTATTTGTGAATAGGACTCAAATATTAGAGTTTCAACTAAAGTAAGAGTTTTTTACTTGTAGTTAGACTAGGAGTAGTCATGAGATGTAAGGGGACTTCATTATAAAAGGAGGCATCCCCATGCCTCCATTGGATATAGAGAGTTTGGTGTGAATAAACTTAGGCATGTGTGCCAAAATTTCCCCACACACGCTTACTTACATTTTTTTATGCTTTTCCATCTTGCTTATTGCTATAGGACTCAAATATTAGAGTTTCAACTAAAATAAAGAGTTTTACTTGTAGTTAGACTAAGAGTAGTCATGAGATGTAAGGGGACTTCATTATAAAAGGAGGCATCCCCACCTCCATTGGATATGGAGAGTTTGGTGTGAATAAACTCAGGCATATGTGCCAAAATTTCCCCACGCACGCTTATTTACGCTTTTTTATGCTTTTCCATCTTGCTTATCGCTATAGCAACATTAACCGAGGAGTTTAGATTGACTTAGACGCTTAGTAACCGTGCGAGGCGTCTAAGGGCCTCACGAACCAACTAGCCGACGGTCTAGCCCGTGATAATATACTTAGTTTTTTCATTGCTTTCGGATGATAACTTATAAGCTAATTACTCAAGTCATAAACAAGATAAAACCATTAATAATCTTAGTGATTCTAATATAATTAAAAAAACTTGTCATACCAAATAATTGGAGTGATGAAATCAAACAAGTTTTCAAGAATACAATCAACATTGAAAAGATTGACAGATTCTGATCATAAGAAAGCCTAACAAAAATCTACATGTAGTTTGTAACCAAAGAAAAGATCTACATGTAGTAGTATTCTTTGTTTATTCTTATCAAATAAAGATATTAAGACATAATTTAGATTAAAAAAATGACCAAGTATGATTTGAAAATGTTAAGAAAACAATATTAGGACAAAAGAAAGAGAGTATGAGCCATTGGATGGGTGGAGATTAGGGATGTTCGCGGTCGGTTTGGATCAGTTTTTGGCTAAAATTCATCCGATCCGAAAGTATAAATGTTTGCGTTTTGATCGGTTTGGATGTTTCTAAAAAAATCCGATCCGATCCAATTAAGTGCGGTTTGATTCGGTTTGGATTTGTGCAATTTTTGGATTCTAATTTTTCAAAATAATTCTTGAATTTTTTTAATAAAAAACAGCATATATATATAACAAAAGCAAATAGTATATATTTTAACAAATACAAGCTTGTGAAATTTACAAAAAGATATATATTTAACAAATTCAATAGTGTGAAGTTTGTTCATATTAATAATTCAGCAGCAGTTTGTAGATGGACTAAGATTTTTCATTTTTTATTAAACTTGAAACGGCGTTGTTTTGCGCAGGGAGATAATCATTCATTGTAAGAGACTATCGGTTCGGTTTAAAAAAATCAAACATACTAAATCGGTTTCGATTTTTTTCGATTATCGATTTTTTAGCTCGGTTTTTGTTTTTTTTTATCGGATTAGATCTGAACACCCTTAATGGAGATGCTTTAGTATGGTTTTCAAGATTTGACATTTTTCATCTCTTACCTTTCTTTTAGTCCATAATGACCACTTGAGCTGTCTACTTTCTAACTTTTAATTTAATTTAATAGTAAAAAAATTCATATCTTTATTTTCTTACTCGATTGATTTCTTTTCTTTTCTTTTGCATGGCTCCTTCCGATATTGTTCAATGGCTATTGCTTTAAACAATTACAAAGAAGGGGAATATAAAACTTTACTACAGTTGGCGCAATTAGGCAGTAGTCATTATTTATTTTTTAGTTAAAGTTTCTATATTTATTTATTTATTTATTATTTATTTTTATATCCTATTATTTGATATATATAGAGAGAGAGACAAACAGGAGGAACCAATGTTATTAAAATCGGATTGGATCAGCCGATTCGATCGGTTGAATCGTGAACCGGTGGCATGTCCGGTCCGGTTAACTTCCAAAACCGGATGAGCACAGAACTGATAAAGAATCGACTGAGAACCGGTAAAACCGGGGTGAACCTGCTGAAAACCGGCAAAACCGGTGTGAAAACCGGTTCTTTTTTTTTCTTTAAAAAAAATTAAACCAAACGATGTTATTTATTAAACGAGCCGAGTCGAACTCGAGTACTGCTGAGCTCGACTCGAACTCGAAAACTTTAAAAGTAAGTTCAACTCGACTAAAAAACTCACGAGCTAAAAATAATCAAGTTCAACTCGAACCCGAAATATAATATTGAAACTTTAACTCGAAAATGCTCGAATTCAAAAATATTTTAGAAGTTCGATTGAAGCCTAAAATTCAAGCTCAATTGAAGCAAAAAAATAGTTCGTTCTGTGCTCACCAAAATGCTCTATGATTTTGAATATCAAATTACATCTAGTATTTATAGAAGTCAGTTGGGATGCTCTTCTATGTTTCATAGTCATGTGAGATTGTTTTGTTTTCATATTTTTATTCTTTAAATTTTGGGATGTTCTTCTATGTTTCTTAGCCATGTGAGATTGTTTTTTTTAAAAAATTAAACCAAACGATATCGTTTGTTATGATTTTTTTCAACCCCAAATTTATTTTTTGATTATAGTTATATAATTATATTTATTATTTAATATGTTTTATCTTAAATATTATGTTTTAGTTGATTTGAATCATTTTGTTTCACTTAATTTTATGTTTTTTAACTTATATATGTTATGAATTGTAATATTTTTATACCTTTTAATATTATAATTTAAAAAAATATATTATATATATATTAATATTATTTTGAATATTATAAAATTTTAAAAAATATTATTTTATATAAAATTCGGTTAAACCATAATTGAATCTGATTAAATCAGTGATCAATACCTTCGCTGGTTGACATTGGGAGGAACTGTGTGGTGGCCGGTGGGGGAGAGCCAAAATTACAAGAGGCTGAGAAGGTTTCCTGAGATCCAGGGAACTCTTTAATTGATAATTGAAAATAAAAAAAAAGGACTATTCTTTGTAGGGTTTTTCTGTGATTCTTGGGAGAGATCACCTTTCTTTGAGTTCTTTCTCATGACCCCTTTTGTTTTCCCTCTATCCAAGTCTTTTTTTTTTCAGGATGAAGATTTGGTTTTAAATTTGATGCAATTGTGGTTGTCTTTTTTCCCTTTAAAATTTATTTTATAGATTTGGTTTTATGTGGACTGTGGACATTAAGTTGTTTCTCTGGTTCTTTCTGTCTTAACTTCAGTTGATGAAGCTAGATAAAGAAGACTCCAGAGAAGAAGTTGAAAAAAGCATAATCAAAGTCTGAAGTTAATATTTTTGTGTAAAAAAAATCCACAATTGGGAAGTTTGGATCCACTTGTAGTTGACCAGATGACTAACCCATTTCCCTTTCATTAACCTTTTTAGTTTTTACTCCCCAACAAGTTGCAACACCTGAAATTGCATCCCTTTCTTTAGACACCTTTTAGTTGATTAAAGCATGGGAAATGGTCTCCTAAAACCCACCTTTCACATTCAATCGTTGTTGTTTATCTCATCATCAGGTCTTAGTTTCGTTGAACAATGACAGGTTGTGTGATTTTTTAGGGGCTGGACGGTAACTTTTTGCACTGCCAAGAGAGGGATTTCGACGGAGGAGATGTACGGTCACAGAGCCATTTAAATTAGGTAATTCGGTGTGTGAAAACTCCGACTTTGCTGCCCGTATGGACATCACAAAACTTAAGCTTATGGCAAATCCTGCTGGTGTTTTAATCGATTCCGAAACCAAGGGTACAAACAATTTAGTGACTGCTGAAGATGTGGATTGTAGCTGTGCTGATATGGAAATCGAACGAAGTAGCTTAGAGGTCAAGGGAGAAAGAGATGACTCCTTGGATATTAAATCTGATGGTAAAGATAGATGGATTGCTAATAATGATGTTATGGCCCGAGATAGCGAGGAAGAGGATTCCTTCACTCTAGAAGGTGATCGTGTTTTCGATCTCGATAGCTCTTGTTCGCTATCGGTTGCAAGTGAGACTAGTAGCCTTTGTGGAGAGGATTTCATGGGTTTTGATGCTACTTCTGAGGTAGAAACACTAAGTACTGTGGATAATGAGAAGAGCATTTGCAGTGTAGATATAATTGCAAAAGCCACTAACTTTGTGGAGTCAAACGCTGAAACGGTGTTTGCAAGTGATCCCCTTGTTGTGGTAGTAAACCTTGAGGAAGATATTGGAGACGGTTCTGAACAGAAGCCATCTGCAGTTCTTCAATTGGCACTCGAAAACCAACCGAGTATGTCAAGTCCGGTTGGACGCAGTGTGTTTGAGGTGGAATATGTGCCTCTTTGGGGATTTACCTCTATTTGCGGAAGACGACCAGAGATGGAAGATGCAGTTGCAGCGGTGCCTCGGTTTTTGAAGGTTCCACTTCAGATGCTAATCGGTGATCGAATACTTGATGGCCTTAGTGGGGACTTTGCTCATCAGACTGCTCACTTCTTTGGGGTCTATGATGGTCATGGAGGTTCACAGGTTAGTTCGACTTCATGTTTACCTTCGTGTCTTTCCCTGGATGTAAATTTATTTCTTGGTAGTTTGCGATTGTACACAGGTTGCAAATTACTGTCGTGGGCGTCTTCATTCTGCCTTGGTTGAGGAAATAGAGTCTGTTAAGAAATGCCAGAGTAATGCAAGCATAACAGATAGTTGCCTAGAGCTGTGGAAAAGGGTATTCACAAATTGTTTTGTTAAGGTTGATGCTGAGATTGGAGGACAAGCTGATCAAGAACCCGTTGCCCCTGAAACAGTTGGTTCCACTGCTGTTGTCACCCTTATTTGTTCTTCACATATAATTGTCGCAAACTGTGGAGATTCTAGAGCTGTTCTATGTCGTGGGAAAGAGCCGATGGCTTTGTCTGTGGATCATAAAGTAAGAGACTGTAAATTGTGCCTTTATATCTTGTATTTCTTAGTGTTGGGAACTTTACCCTTTTAACTTGAATTGTCTTCATTTTTCTTAGCCAAACCGAGAAGATGAATATGAAAGGATTGAAGAAGCTGGAGGCAAGGTTATCCAGTGGAATGGTCATAGAGTTTTTGGTGTTCTTGCAATGTCAAGGTCCATTGGTATGTCTTCTGTCATAATGAACCCCTTTTTTTCAATAGAATCAAACTCTTAATGTTTACAATTTTGTGTTTTTTCAAGCCATAATTTGGAGAGAGAAAAAAATATAAGGTTCGGGGGGCACATTTCCCTTATAAATTCACCCCAAATGACATCCACATCATGGTTTATATCTGTATACATTGATGCTTCAGAATCGGATGAATTCATCACAGTTCTTTGTACACTAGCCATCGAAGTGTGTTAATGGGGTGACAGTGTAGCTGATCAAAATCTGTTACTTTATTGCTTGAACATTTTACTCAAGCTTCTGGCATATTTCCTATGGATTTGCCTACTGTCGAAGTCTTCACTTATTTACGTCTCTGATGCATGCACTATCTGTTTTTTTGTCTTATTGAACTCTGTGTAGCTTTTTCTTTTCGATTTCTGCACCTAGACTGCTCAAAAGGTCGAGCTGTTTTGTAATAAAATAAAGTGTCTTATACTTGGTCTGAAGAAATTATAACCCCTGATTGAAAAAAAAGAAACGAAATTATAACCCCTGGAATAAGTTTGATGAATGTTAGAGCATTAGATTGTAAATATCTGTGCAATTGGCTTCTCTTGATCAAATCTTGCATGATGAAACAATGTGTCCGGGCTGATATAGAAGTCTCATTTTGAATTATTAAACCTCTATGATCTTGATGAAACAATGGTTTCATTTTTCTTTTCTAACAAGGATGTGTCCTGAGAATCATGTTTTCTTCCGATAGGATTCAAATTATGATTTAAAAGAATGAGAATGATTGTTCCTGTTGTTTCTTCAGGTGATCGGTATTTGAAGCCATGGATCATTCCAGATCCAGAAGTAATGTTTATTCCGAGAGCGAAAGAAGATGAATGCCTCATTTTGGCCAGTGATGGTCTATGGGATGTAATGTCAAATGAAGAAGCATGTGACCTAGCTCGGAGACGAATACTTCAATGGCATAAAAAGAACGGTGCTACACTTGCTTCAGAAAGGGGTGAGACAATCGATCCCGCCGCTCAATCTGCAGCAGAATACCTTTCAAACCGAGCTCTTCAAAAGGGAAGCAAGGACAATATCACAGTACTTGTGATCGACCTGAAAGCTCTAAGGAAGTTCAAGAGTAAGACATGACGATGATCTCTCGACCGTCTTCCGATCTTCAGTCTTGCTATGACATATTTTCATATTTTGTATTTCAACCCATGGTGCTCATGTAAAAGTTGGGAAATTTGGAAGATAATACAAGTGCAGTTCATCTTTCCATTAGTTGAATCGTTGATTGCTTGTGATGATTCTAGTTTTTGTAGCACAATAAGCCGGCCAGTGCATATGGTTTTTGGAGTGATCAATTTGGCCATGTAAGGTGCTTCCTTTCTCATAGTGCATGATACATGTGGAAATATAGGTGTTATGTATATCTACATTGCCTTCCTTTTGTACTTGAATGGTTTTCATTCCATTATAATCCAAATAAACACTGATTTAAATGTATTTCATCCCATTTGCACTCGAAATGTAAATTACTTTTGCCACGTCCTCCATTATTGATTGATATGAGTCCAGTGAAGACAGTCGCCCAAACAGATTTCACTTGGAGGAGGAGCATTGAGAGCTTCATTTCTTCTTGAATAGGAGAAGTGCAACCATACATGCTTCTCCATTATTGTATCCAAAGAGTTCTGCAACAGCGATAAAGAACGTTTGCCAATAAACAGTCCATTTCACAGCCTGATCCTTGCCATAGGTTGCCTCCATTATTGGTTTAATGGCGGCTGAGTTTTTGTCCATCCTCTTGAGCCACTCTTCACTGCAATATAAAACAGTTCTCTGAGAATGTTTAGACGGCTAACATAGAAAGAAATAGTTATTTCTCCAGGAAAAATCAGACATGTTAACAAGTTAGTACAACTATTTAAATTTGTAAATGAATTTTTAAGTTGGTATTATAAAACAACTGCTTAAGGCGCCTGCGTTAGACTCTTCATCACCAAACGCTTTGCTAGATTGATCCTTCGACTTTTCTTTCGTGCTTGAAGTTTCTTACAGTTATGGTTGATTGCTAGATATATACATGAGAGGATAACAACCCAAGGTGCATGCTTGATGCCTGTCGACAGATGATTCGACGAATAGAATGGACCTCAGATATGTCGTGGAGCTTTTCGGTTTGTTTTGAACCCTTACAGTTGTACGAGCCTCGGGGAGGAAATACCTAGTCATAATTCATAACTAATGCTGTTCATGACTGTTCCTAATAACCAATCCAGTGGAAGATGAGCATATTCTATATTTCTATGGATATTTTTTCTCGGTAATAAAAGCTTAATTATTGCATTGTCAAAAGCAAAATACTAGTTGTAAGCTGTCAAAAAGCCACAACACTCCAAAATAAGAAAAATAAAGCATAATAGTTCGTACATTAGAATGAATTTTTTTCTATATATCATATTTTAATCTAATTTGATAATGTTAACTTTTTTTTAAATGGATTTTGAATTGAATTGAATCTGTTTTTGTTTTTTTAGATTTATTAAATCAAATTTGATTTGGATTTAAAAAAATATTCAATACCGTACTAAAATAATTATATAAATTTTTATTATATATTATATAATATTAGTTAATTTTTTTAAAAATACATAAAAAGCTAACCTATAATCTACAAGAATTATAATATTAAATTAAAATTAATATTATTAAAATTAATGAATTATTTTTTTCAATTATTTATTTTAATAAAAGTATGTAAAAATATATATTTATTTGAATCAAAATTTAATTTTAAGGTAATCATATCATATGGATTTTAGATAAAAAAAAGTATCAATGGCGATCTCTAATTATGCATTTAAAAAATTATAAGTTTCAAAAAGGAACAAATTTTAAGAGGACGTTTGGTTGCGGCTAGAATCACGTATCCACATTTGATTAAGAAGCATTCCATCCCGAGGTAATAAAGCATTATTTACAATAACATTTTTTTTAGGTTTTTCCTGATAATGTCATTTCTATTGTTTTCTTAGATATTTGTCAATTTCTTCTATTTAGGACAAAAAATGCCCTTAAATAATATAGTTATTTTAAAATGATCATTCATTTGTGTATATATACGTTGACATATATGTTTATTTATTTTTATTGTGGTTTTGAATTTTGTAATACTTATTATAAAATAATATGATGCCTATAATAAAAAGTAAAAAATATTAAATTTCTCTTTTATTTTGAGTTTTTTATGTATGTATTTTATTTAAATTTTATTTTTATATGTATTTTATTATGTTTATTTTTTAGGATTAATTTTCATAAAAAGTTTTCTATATTATAATTTTTTAGGTTTTCCATTAATCTTGTTAGATAATTTGATATAATATTTCGTTGTACAACTCATACATGTAGCATGAATAAAATATAAAAATGTAACAATTAACACATACTTACACCGGTATAAGTATGTACATCTCTCGATATCTTAACAATTAACACAAATTTACACCGATATAAGTATTTACATCTCTCAATATCTTAGAAATTAACACATACTTACACATGTGTAAGTATGTGTATCTCTCAATATCATAGCAATTAACATATACTTACACTGGTGTAAGTATGTACATCTCTCAATATCTTAGTATCTAAAAAACACATAATTATATTGGTGTAAGTATGTTTCTGTATTTTCAAAGAAATAAAAATATATATGCAGTTATTTGTGTATAAATTTTATTGAATATATATATATATATTAATTAAAGAATATAAAATTTTATTTTCTTTGAACTTTCGTGTAAATATTTTGACATTAATATTAAGAAATGAACTTGTTAAAAATATATCTCAAGAACAATTTAATAAAACATGCATATTTCTTATCTTATATTTCATCGACCAAACATTATATTTTTATATTTATGTCAAACAAACCAAACAAAGTAATATGTTAAATAATATAATACTTTAATAATCTTATTTTAAATGGTAATTTTACATTTGGTGAACCAAACATAAAACACCTCACCCAAACATTAACCACGAAGCCGTGAAAAGATGAGTCTCAATGCATCAGATCTCATCAGTCAAACTGATTGCTTCCCACCCTCATGCTCAAAGGTCACCCTAAAATGCTTTTCCTAAGACTATTTTATATTTTATTTATATTTCCTTAAAGATGCTAATCACCATGAAATATAATCTATTTTATTATTATAATATTTTGTATATTTAAAACTATATTCAGTCGATTAATTCAATTATTATAAAAAACATGAGGATGGGTCCAATTAACTTATTTATACCCTTAATGAAATTTTATTCTTATCAATTATTAAAATGTTACATTGTACAAAAATCTTCTACGTTGCACCAATATTAAGATTTATAAAATCTCTAAGTCTATATTTACACGAGAACGTCCTTAAAAGAGAATGGAAATCTTCTAAGCTGTAAAAAGATTCAGATTTACAGAATCAATTATCTATTAACTTTTTATAGAGCTTAATCTAATTGTGATCTTTATAAAACTTAAAACTTCTATAATGTTAAGTTAACCGTTAAACTAATTTCTATTCCCCTCCTTCCAAATAAGTAAGTCAACTACAAAACATAGAGGAAATAATCATATTTTTTATATTTGGGACAAAATTGGAAGATCCATCCAATTGAAGTCGCTCCAGGACCTTAGATAAAATATCAATGGCTATGACAAATAAGTAGGGGAGAGGGATTACCTACCTAATTCCTCTAGCATAGATAAAAAACCCTACAAGACTTTTATTAAAGGTAATAAAAAAACCCAACAGTAGTGAGGCAATTATCTCATAGCCTCCATAATAGATGGCACAAAATCTCAAGATAAATTATCAAACACCTTTTAGAGGTCAACATTAAGAGCTCACTTATTGCAAGAGACTTTCTTGCATAACCCCCTATTCCTACACTACAAAGGGTATTATCAACAATGTTTTTATCCTTAACAAAGGTCATTTGATTAAATGAAGTCATCCCGAAAAAAAAAACAGTTACTATATCCATCATGATTCTTGTAATCACTGAAAAACAAGAAATGAGTCCAAAGTCCTTCACCATGCAAGAAATTTGAGATTTTGGAACAATAACTAAGGTTGTAGCATTCAAGATAACATTCTTTTTTTTATCATTTAAGTTCTCCTTAATTGGCGCATTGTTAGCTTCAAGAGGCAAAGCAGTTTATAGCCTCAAAACTCATCTGCTCAAAAGTAATGAATTTTATCCCCTTATCGTTCTCTAGAAATCTAATGGTATTCTTCTTCAGTTTAGCAACAACATAATGAAAGAACTTAGTACTTTGGTCCCCTCATGTAACCATTAAACTTTAGCTCTCTGTCTATAGAACAGAGACTCGGCCAGCTCACTTTATAATAAATTTCAATATCTATATTACCCAGATTCTATCCGATGATAGATTTAACAATTGTTGCTTCAGTCTAGCCCTGGAAGAAATATCAACATAATGTTGTTTGGTTCATTGACTTGTAATTTTATGTTATAATATAATTTGACATTATATGTGAAGTCATTATCATACTAATAGAATAATAAAATAAATTTTGTTTGATATTAAATTAGTGGTGATACAAACAACAATAATTTCAAATGAATTATCCTTTGATGACTATCCTTGATAGACTTCCAACTAGAGACAGACTCTCTCGCATGGGAATTACCACTACGGTCTCTTGTGTTCTTTGTTCTGATTCAAATGAATCCAGAAACCATTTATTTGCTGATTGTTCTACAGTAACCAACTTGTGGAAAGCTATCTTAACTCTTAATCACCTATCCAAGCCTCATATGTCATGGGATGAAATGCTTTCATGGGCTTCTTTCATCTTGGAAAGGTAAATCCCTTCTTACTTCCATATTGAAGATTGCTTGGTGTTCCTTCATCTACACTTTATGGGAGGAAAGAAACTGCAGGATTTTTCAAGGAAGAACAAGAACTTTTGAAGAATTGTTAAGCTCCATTAAAGACATTGTAGGTTCTCATCTTAGCAATAGAGACCTCAATAGAAACGATCATGTTAACTCTTTACTTTGTAACAATTGGGGTATAGGTTAGCATTCTTTTGTTGTACATAGCTTTCTTTGATCCTTGTCTGGGTTCTTTGTATTG